TGTTGGAGCCCCCCAATATGTATGTCCCCCATATAGGGACTATTGGAAAATTGGAAAAGATTCAGAAAAAATCCAAAAGAAAAAACTTCAGGAAAGGAGAAATTGTCCAGCTGCAAAGATTTAATGAGTTCATTTGTTCAGTTTACCAAAAAGAAGAATGTACCAAGACATAGCAGTGGGAAGTATATGTCTTCCCTAGAGAAATACTGAATAATAAAAGGGTCTTTAACCCAGTGGAAGAAACAATAACAAATGGCAGAGATAGAAGCTGGAGATAGAAGCCAGGCAGCACTAACTGGAAATAAGGGCTTTATTTTAAAAATGAGCAATTCATTACAGGAATAAGATAAGGATGATACTAAAGTACATAGTCCACCTTTTGCTGACTTCAGACCACAGCCTTCTAGAAGACAAGTTTTAACTTTATCCTGATATAGCTGAGTGAAATTATACAGCTTCTGATCAAGAGCTGAACAAGACTTTCTGATGCCCTTGTCTGGACATTCTCCCTCTACCTCCTATTTCTCAGGTGAGAAATCTGTGGATTTCAGTCTCTTCTTCCTGGGCAGAAGCAGTGACAGGCAGGACATGTGTGCATTGGTTTCCACTGGGATTCTAGGCTTGGTTGGTGCAGTCTTATCCCACTGTTGCAATGTGGTCCCTCCACCTGCATTGTCACTTCCATCCAAAAGCTCTGCAGATCCCTGAACTATGCAGTGCATTTCTGTCCTCTGCCCTCAGTGTCTCTCCCATTTTAACATATGTCTGAGTTGAATTAATGCCAAAGGTATGAAGAAAACACAGGTCCATAAAGGTTCGTTGGTCAGAAAAAGCTACTTTCAGCATCGTGAGAGATGCCTGAACTGGATTGTGGCACCAGCCAAGGCTGGAACTAGTATCTGCACTGTGGAGCTAAGTCATTTCTTGGGCCACCATCAAAGACCATGGGCCTGGGACATGTCTACAAATATCCCCGCAAATGTGAAACCTTGGTGTTTAATTAGGTCTTCACCCCAAAACCAGCTGCTTGGGGTGGTGGTAGATATGGTCCCTTATAAGCCTTAATTAAATTCTAGGCTAATTCCTAAATCTGGAGAACATTTGAAAGTGGGTAGTTGCAGTGTTTCAGGCAATACTTCACTACAAAATGTTTTTTGTTTCAAAGAAACACTTGAACAGTGAAGGCTGTATGGGTTGATTGCCATTCCAGGAGAGCTGCTAGGCTGCTATTCACTGCTTAGAAACTTGGAGAAGAGGAGAGTAATGTAATTTCATATGGGCCATGGCAGGAATGAAACCATGCTGAAATGCAGGTTTGCCTGAAGGAAGGTGGGTAAGGAGAGGAAGCGGTCCTTGTCAGTACAAGGAAGCATCGAACAATAAGGGGAGGAGCAGGCTAAAGAAATTCCTATTCCCCAAGAGTTTCCTTTTAAGCACAAGGTGGGTGTGTCTCCCTCCAACATAAAACACATCCTAAAATAAACATGCACAATTATTTGTGAACATACACATTCCTTATGGTGCAATGTTGTTTTGTGTCCATTTAGAAGTTACAGCCAGAACCTTTCAAGTGGCTCAGACAGTAAAGGAAGCAGAAATTGAAGCAGAATGGAATTGTTGTGATAAAAGGCAAAGAGTGGAGCTTTCTTTTCAGTAATTGTTTGGGTTATAAAAAGGAAAGTTGTTTAAGGAGCCTCGTGAAAGGCAAGATCAACACACAGAGCAGTTAGGAAAAAACTGTGGAAGGAATCAGTAGTGACCAGTAGCTGGCACAAGTGGGTAAGAGTAGGACATTACAATGCCTGTTATTACCATACTATGAACAGGGTCCATTACCATAAATTCTCTTCCACTGAAGGTAGTAGAAGGAAAAACTCAAGATTACTTGATTCCTTTTGCTGTAGAAAATTACCACTGGAGGGAAAGTGGATAACTGTTTAAGCTATGTTCTTTTTTTTTAAGTGGATGTCTGCATGGTTATTTTACATAAAGGAAACGAGTTAGTTAGTTACATTATTTTATTTCAAATTTGTTTATAAGACAAAGCTTGGGAGATCCTGGCATTCTCTACAGTCCAGTCTTTCTCTCATTACTCAGTGTTTCAGTACAGACACTCTGTCTGGCAAGAACAAGGATGCAAATGCAGAGACTGTGCTCAAGCCTTGTCACATCCCAGGAAAGGAGTAGGTATATTTGTGTCCTACTCTTGGATAGACATTCCTAGGAAAAGCCAGACACTGCAGGAAGTGGTATAATACCTCCAAAGTGATGTTTCTTCCTTGGAGTTAGTCCTAAAAATGCCTCATTATGGTGGTAAGGGGTCCATCGCTGATTTCTGGTGGGAAAGGTGTAAGGACTCAGTTTTAGCTAATAAAAATTTCATGGTTTTTGTTACCAGAAGTTAGTTTAGGATGTTTAGTCGTTGCAATAGCTGATTTAAAAATCCAAAAGGTAGATCTGGCTGGGGAGCCAGGCTTACAAGATACTCAACCCACTTCTATTCCCTCCCTGTTTCTAACTGGCAACAGTTTTCAGCACTCTGCAGCCTTCAGCTGCTGCAGACTTGCCGCTGGCTGCAACAGAAGCAATGGTACTTCAACGATGGTGAAGTGTTTGGCACATAATGTTTCCAAAATAATCTGGAGGGAAAGATTAGCTACCCATTCGGTGATTTCAGTAATTAGACAGATGCCCTGCAGCTCAAAGCAGCAGTAGGTACTGTGAAACAAGAGTACACACTACAGTACTGGAGACTGGCAAATACGCGGTTCTCTTTACC